GGTAATCTGCTCAATGATGGGCATCAGACAAGGCGGCAGATTTTTGCCGAAGACGGAGTCGACTTTTGGACCGGGAATCGGACCGATTTGGCTTGACGAACTGGAATGCAATGGTAAATAAAATTTAAGGATCTTCTGTTTGAAAAAATAAATAAAATATTCACTGATTTCCTGCTGCTTTGGAAAATCAATGGCTTTTTTCAAACTTTCGCTGCGAGAACAGTTGAGCGATGCCTGCAAACGGGTGGAAACAGTTTGCAAATGTCGACTTTGTTGAGCCAAATTCTTCTGTCTTTTAAAAAAATGTATTCGATACATTGTGACATGTCTGGAAAGTTTCCTTCACACTTGCTTTATTGATGAAAATGACCAGCGTGACCCATAATCAACTTTTAGATGAAGTTGCAGTATTAATTAAGGCCTATTTTAATAACTGAAGTCGTGCATAAAACTTCGGGTTCTTTTCCTTGTACCAGTGGAGCATGATTAATTCTCAGTAATCAATATCCATTATTAATTCGATGGACTTCTGCTGATGCGACGAATCACATTTCCCTACCCCCATAAAACTTCGAAAATCATTGATGATGCGTATTACGTGATATATTCCATAAGCTGAAACTATTACGCTCACAGATTATTTCATTTTTCACTGACAAGACTTGGAAAAATGTTTTTTTATTGAATATCGTTGATTTTCTTGTAGCTAAAAATACTTTCGAACTATTCAAATCTCCAAAAATTATAAAATTATGCTGCGTTCATGCGCACACGATGATCAGACTATTATGCTTCGTAATTGAAAAAATCGGCGAATTACTGAATGTACGAGTACGTGGAATTACTCTCCTGAATTTAACCCCACAAAAATTTCGTTTATCTATTTACTTTTATATCATACGGATATAAACAATGTACTGTATAAGCATTTGTACATATTATTGAAGTTGCTTCGAGACATAAAAATATGCGTAACGCATGTTCAGGCAATATTATTAAGAGAAAAGACTCAGCATCATTTAACATTTCCTGACATAAGAAACCCGTATTTACTTTCATTCAAATAATTGATCATCAAAGCTTGATATGAAAATCATTCTCACTTGGAATTTTCAAATGCTTCTATACTATAGGTACATTAATATTATGATTGTTTTTTGAGGGAGAACCAGTTTCCTGTGAGCATTTTGTCCTGTCATACAGCATTTTGGGGGGCGCGTCATTTCTACAATGCCGGAGGGATTCAATCCAAGGGATAAAAACAGGCAGCACTTTGGATTATTTCTCCAGAATAAAAAGAAAATAATGCATTTTTTCAAAGGAGCTTTTTCAAAGAGCCTGAAGATCTTAGGTTACATGTAGTGTAAAAAAAAAAGAAAAAAAAGTGCAGAAAAAAAATCGAGGTTCCTCGGTCCACCGAGCGCAACCCAGGAAACCGCGACGAAATCCTCTGCCGTGCGGAAATGATGTCTATCGACATCGAGAGGGGCGACATATAAACAATATATAAAAAAATATACAAACAATATTTTTGTTTTTACGTATCGATTGCGGAAATCAATTTCGGTTATTTGTCAACATATTTTCATGATTGTCGCAGGTGAGGAAAGCAGTGTGGCTGAGTGCATCCACGAAGCTTGGGGCGCAGGCAATTGTCGACACGACGAGGACGTGGCTGTCGAGTGCTTCGACACCTCATCGGAACTTGTCACAGTTAGTATATATCACGCCGACTTTCTAATCGATAATCGCTGATGAATATCATCGAAGTCCTTCGTTTGGTTGCAGCAATCGAAATCAGGATAGTATTTTATATTTTTCCCGAGACGTCGTAGATAACAAGGATTGCGGATGAGTAAGAAACGGGGTGATTTAATTAGGAACCAAAACCTTGTCATTAAAATGTTCAAGTTATAAATCCATTTCATAGCAAATAGATAAATATGTGCTGAAAGTAATACAACTTGATTTTCATTAGCGAGTATTGTGTCATAAACATTCGTAAAAATCATCAATATGTATTACCGTTTTCGAAGGAATTTTAATCGTGAGAATCACCCTGCTAAAAACTGTTGAAAAATTATGATCACTGAAATGCCTTCCAATTGCTCAAACGTGCTCAAACTCCCTGGATTGAAAGAAAATTCATCGCATTCATTGAATCTAATGATGATTTTATTCTTATGAACCATTTCAAGATCAATAAATTTAAGTGAAGTAGTGAGTTGCCAAGAAACTCAATCCACCACGCTAAGTTGACGGTTTTATTATAAAAATTCGCATTTGAGGTGAGGTTTTCTCGCTTCGGTCTTGAATAATTTAGCTTCATAAAAAGAGAGAAAAAGAACCCTTCAGCCGCTACATCTTAACTTAAATTCTGAGTACAAAATTCTTAAAACGGTTTTTCATGGCGAACTGAAGATTGATGAGAATTTTTTTTTCTCATTTCAGTCGACAGCAAACCCTTCGTCAGGACACGAGACACTTCTGCGACCTAGGCCCGCAATATTGCCAAACGTGTGCGGATTGCGAGATGTTGACGAGATTTCCGGCACAACATCTGCAAATCGACGAGGAAAAGTCATCGCTGGTAGGACCACGACTCCTGGGGCTCATCCTTGGCAGGTGAAAATAAAACAAAATTTAGCCCTGGAACAAGCGTTCTGATTCCAAAAATTATGTGAGAATCATTGTCTAGACTTCTAGAGAAACAAAGAACACGACTAAAAGTNGGTAATCTGCTCAATGATGGGCATCAGACAAGGCGGCAGATTTTTGCCGAAGACGGAGTCGACTTTTGGACCGGGAATCGGACCGATTTGGCTTGACGAACTGGAATGCAATGGTAAATAAAATTTACGGATCTTCTGTTTGGAAAAAAAAAATCACTGATTTCCTGCTGCTTTGGAAAATCAACGGCTTTTTTTTTAACTTTCGCTGCGAGAACAGTTGAGCAATGCCTGCAAACGGGTGGAAACAGTTTGCAAATCTCGACTTTGTTGAGTCAAATTCTTCTGTCTTGAAATTTTTTTTATTCGATACACTGTGATATGTCTGGAAAGTTTCCTTCACACTTGCTTTATTGATGGAAATGACCAGCGTGACCCATAATCAACTTCTAGATGAAGTTGCAGTATTTATTGCGGCATAATAACTGAAGTCGTGCATAAAACTTCGGGTTCTTTTCTTTGTAACAGTGAAGCATGATTAATTCTCAGTAATCAATATCCATCATTAATTCGATGGACTTCTGATGCGATGAATCACATTTCGCTACCCCCATAAAACTTCGAAAATTATTGATAATGCGTCTTACGTTATATATATTCCATAAACTGCAACTATTACGCTCACAGATTATTTCATTTTTCACTGACAAGACTTGGAAAAATGTTTTTTTATTGAATATCGTTGATTTTCTTGTAGCTAAAAATACTTTCGAACTATTCAAATCTCCAAAAATTATGCTGCGTTCATGCGCACACGATGATCAGACTATTATGCTTCGTAATTGAAAAAATCGGCGAATTACTGAATGTACGAGTACGTGGAATTACTCTCCTGAATTTAACCCCACAAAAATTTCATTTATCTATTTACTTTTATATCATACGGATATAAACAATGTACTGTATAAGCATTTGTACATATTATTGAAGTTGCTTCGAGAGGTAAAAATATGCGTAACGCATGTTCAGGCAATATTATTAAGAGAAAAGACTCAGCATCATTTAAAATTTCCTGACATAAGAAACCCGTATTTACTTTCATTCAAATAATTGATCATCAAAGCTTGATATGAAAATCATTCTCACTTGGAATTTTCAAATGCTTCTATACTATAAGTACATTAATATTATGATTGTTTTTTGAGGGAGAACCAGTTTCCTGTGAGCATTTTGTCCTGTCAATATAGTATTTTGCGGGGCGAAGATGGCTGTCGTTTCTACAATGCCAGGGGGATTCAATCCAAGGGATAAAAACAGGCAGCACTTTGGATTATTTCTCCAGAATAAAAAGAAAATAATGCAGTTTTTCAAAGAGGCTTTTCCAAAGAGCCTGAAAATCTTAGGTTACATGTGTTGTAGAAAAAAAAAAGTGCGGAGGAGAAAAAAAATCGAGGTTCCTCGGTCCACCGAGCGCAACCCAGGAAACCGCGACGAAATCCTCTGCCGTGCGGAAATGATGTCTATCGACATCGAGAGGGGCGACATATAAACAATATATAAAAAAAATATACAAACAATATTTTTGTTTTTACGTATCGATTGCGGAAATCAATTTCGGTTATTTGTCAACATATTTTCATGATTGTCGCAGGTGAGGAAAGCAGTGTGGCTGAGTGCATCCACGAAGCTTGGGGCGCAGGCAATTGTCGACACGACGAGGACGTGGCTGTCGAGTGCTTCGACACCTCATCGGAACTTGTCACGGTACGTATATCACGCCGACTTTCTAATCGATAATCGCTGATGAATATCATCGAAGTCCTTCGTTTGGTTGCAGCAATCGAAATCAGGATAGTATTTTATTTTTCCCCGAGACGTCGTATAGATAGCAAGGATTGCGGATGAGTCAGAAACGGGTGATTTAATTAGGAACCAAAACCTTGTCATTAAAATGTTCAAGTTATAAATCCATTTCATAGCAAATAGATAAAATATGTGCTGAAAGTAATACAACTTGATTTTCATTAGCGAGTATTGTGTCATAAACATTCGTAAAAATCATCAATATGTATTACCGTTTTCGAAGGAATTTTAATCGTGAGAATCACCCTGCTAAAAACTGTTGAAAAATTAAGATCACTGAAATGCCTTCCAACTGCTCAAACGTGAGCCTTCCTGGATTGAAAGAAAATTCATCGCATTCATTGAATCTAATGATGATTTTATTCTTATGAACCATTTCAAGATCAATAAATTTAAGTGAAGGAGTGAGTTGCCAAGAAACTCAATCCACCACGCTAAGTTGACGGTTTTATCATAAAAATTCGCATTTGAGGTGAGGTTTTCTCACTTCGGTCTTGAATAATTTAGCTTCATGAAAAGAAGGAAAAAGGACTTTTCAGCCGCTGCATTTTAAATTAAATTCTAAGTACAAAATTCTTAAAAAGGTTTTCCATGGCGAACTGAAGATTGATGAGATTTTTTTTTCTTATTTCAGTCGACGGCAAACCCTTCGTCAGGACACGAGACACTTCTGCGACCTCGGCCCGCAATATTGCCAAGCGTGTGCGGATTGCGAGATGTTGACGAGATTTCCGGCACAACATCTCCAAATCGACGAGGAAAAGTCATCGCTGGTAGGACCACGACTCCTGGGGCTCATCCTTGGCAGGTGAAAATCGAACAAAATTTAGCCCCTGAACAAGCATTCTGATTCCAAAAATTATGTGAGAATCATTGTCTAGACTTCTAGAGAAACAAAGAACACGACGAAACGTTCTCTAGAATTACCACTTCTCATCTATGTTGCCTACGTGAGGATGAATGATCAAGCGAATATTTCACTCTGCTTCTGAAATCATATTTCACAGTCGCCATCCACTTTCGGCGACTGTGTTATTTTAATCAGTTATTTTAATCAGTTTTCCCTATAGCCATTTTAGGCCCACGGACCGGCAAAATTTCTATAAAATTTTTGGCGGACCAGCAAATTCCCAAAAAGAATTTTCCTGAGCAGCAAAGTTTCATAACATTTTTGCAGACTCAAAAACGTTTGCTTGAAAGACTTTGGCGGTAATTAAAAAGTGTATGCTTTAAAAATGTTTCAACTTCCAATGAAGCATCTACAGTGGAATATGTCTTCAAAAATTCAAAAGTTATACTTGAAGAGAGGTTTCTTGGAATGAAAAATTCCAAATAAATTATTTGAGCATGTGAAAACTTGTCTGAAGACTTATGAGGAGATTGGAAACTTATTTTTCATCAGATATAAAGTAATTTCAACTTCTATACATTGTATCTCTGAAATTTCAGATGAAGATAACCGACTTCTTTGCTATATCTGATAAATTGATCATGCTGAAAATTTCCCGCGGACCAGCAAAAAAACTTTTGGACCACCGGTTTGGGAATTATGATTTTAATAATTCCCCTTTGATTGATTTTTTGAAAGTTGTTTCAAGCCAATAGAAAAAAACGCGGTAACATGTTTGGAAACTATTTTAGAAGTTATAGAGAAAGTTTGGAAAGTCTTGGCTGTTCTTGTCGACTGGCGGAGGTCTTAAATCAAATCTTGGATTTTTCTCTATTTTTCGAGCAAAAATGTTTTTCCCCCTGGAATTAACTCGTCTGTGTAAGTTCGATGGAAACCTTTTCATCAATATATTGTTCAAATAACTCATCCATTCCCATAGTCTAATTAGGTTCATTATATTGTATTCCCGTAAAACCTGTTTTACAGTGTGCTATTCTGCTGACTGCTTTGTCCTTCAGTCAACTCTTCTGCAGGTGTGTACTTAAAGACTTCTGCAAGATGGATAATCGTTGGAAACGACTTGAATTTTTGTTCATAGTCATACATGGAACCAGCCGACGGGAAAATTACTGTACTTGAATGAGACTATTTACAGTTCAATGCTTTTTGTTAGTTGTACAATGCATCAAGATATTAGGCGACGTGTATACCAGTTCGAGAGAGAAAAGCGAGCCCTACTGTCAAATAAACTTCTCCATTAGTTGAAATAGACCGAGCTTCAAAACTTCCATGACGAAACTAATCGTTACTTTATATCACCAACAACTCCCTGCTCTTGGTTTTTCCAACGCCCCGACGCCACTTGATTAAAAACAGCAGTTTGACGAAGCGAACAACCTAAAAAAACTTTAAAAAAAAGCGGAAGACGCGTATTTTGTCAAGAATCCATCAGGCAGATTTGTCTTTGATGCCTGTGTTTTTATTTTTCACGCTCTATGTAAGATAACTGCTAATTAATTTGCTCATCAGGCGAGTCTGCGGATCCGATCCGGAACGAAAAGCACTCATTGGTGCGGAGCCGTGATTGTGAGTCCAAATCACGTCATTACGGCTGCTCATTGCTTGGAAGATTACCCAAAGAAAGCGTATGTCATCAGAGTTGGCGACTACGACACTCAAGTAAGATATGTACTGGATTAATTTATCTCATTTGTTCCACTAACATCGTTATGCATCGATGCCAAATCATCCGAAAGAAATCTAAGCGACTTTTCGGGACCTCAAGGTTTGATGAAAACTTGAATAGTTCGGAATTGAAAGCCATTGTTAAATCGTGAAGTTAGGATAAGTACGGTATTAGTATTTCAATCATCTTGGCCAATATTTGATAGATTCGCTCCAATCGCAATAAGATTTCTAAAACCTTGATCAATAATTGCGAAAAGTCGCTTCGGTCTACTGTATNTCGGGACCTCAAGGTTTGATGAAAACTTGAATAGTTCGGAATTGAAAGCCATTGTTAAATCGTGAAGTTAGGATAAGTACGGTATTAGTATTTCAATCATCTTGGCCAATATTTGATAGATTCGCTCCAATCGCAATAAGATTTCTAAAACCTTGATCAATAATTGCGAAAAGTCGCTTCGGTCTACTGTATTGTCCATGAATACGCAACCATAAGTTATCGAAAAATAAGTAGGACTGAAAATGCGACGGATTATCCAAAACTATAGTGCGAAAAAGAAAAAAAACTAAGAATGGCCGTGCTCTATTTCAATTACCTAGAATTTAAATTCAGTAGCAAATCTGACCTCTGGCATGCTTTTACGTATTAACCAATTGACATGTACTTTAGTGGCAACCTTCATTATATTAACGCACGAATTTAAAGGACAAAGCTATGCTGATCATTTGGATGTACAGTACTTTAATGGAAACAGATTAAAGTTAGCGAGACTCTGACAACTATGACACGAAAAATACGCAGGTATGTTTTCAAAAATTCTCAACTGCCCGAAGAATCGCGCAACTTCCAATGGAGTATTTTCGATAATCATGATTTATTCATATCTATCGAGTGATTCTTGTTTTAATGGCATGCTCAATTAATTTCAATCTAAATGAGCATCCTGAGCAGGGATTTTTTATTGCGTAATTTTGTAATATAACGCTTTAATAATTATGCACTGTTATTGCACAATTGACTTTGACATGCAACGCGCAAACAAAAATTGATATTAGCCTTTGAATATCGAAATCAATCGAAGAATTTTCTACAGGGCGAAGATACATTCCCTCCTGATGGAAATATACTGTATAATTTCTTCGTTTTCTCCTTCATAAGGTGGAAGACCTTGAAGAACAAGAATTTCATATTGAGGAAATGTACACTCATGAGAAGAAACACGAAAGCATCAGATACAACAACGATGTTGCTCTCATCAAGCTCAAGTCCTCCAGGGAATCATTCGTCGGATCAGCCATCAAATTTGGCACGAAGGTACAGGCGATTTGTCTGCCTGACCCTGGCTCAGCGGTGTATTCCCCTGGCCGGAATTGCACCTTATCTGGTTGGGGCAGCACTGGTGTCAGTGAGTCATTCCTTTCATTCTGATTTGCATCAGTTGTATTTTTCCTGATGAGACCAGGTGCAAAATTATACCCAAAAGGATAAAAAAAAAGTATTTATGGAGTCTAACGCCCTTAATTGTGTGACAGAAGGTTTCTTTCCAGCATGAAGTTTCCATTATGGTAATTCAAATTACACCAGTTTCTTATTCAACTGTAGCAGGCAAGCATTTTAAAACACCTAGCTACAACATGTGACAAAAGTCCCAAGTAGGCGTAGCACGCTACACATGGCAGTTTGGGCATGAAAAACATTCGGCATGCATTTTGCTATGTGCAATTATTTGCTGGGGAGTCAGGATTTTTTTCAAGGGTGAGGCACATTTCAGTTTGACCAAAGGTCTCTGAAATGCCCCCGGGCTAGGAAGGTCTAAGTCACAAAACATTATGGGTGGAGAATATAGATGGAGCCTCACAATTGGACATTCTGCAATTTGACTGTCCTGAAATTTGGTGGTGAAATTTTTTGGGAAGTTGACTTGAAAATTGACCTCTGCCTTGCAATTCAACATCCTTTAGCCCATTTTCTAGCGTTTTTTGTAGCTGTTCCTTAATTTTTCAAGGTGTCTTGCAATTTGACTAATTTTAAATTTGACCCTAGTATATATGGCAATGGATTAGGGGCAACATAATCCATAGGTTGACCGTAGGAAAACCTTTTTGATCAATATACTGATTCTGCAAGCATTGAAACGCATTCAAAAGAATTTACTGTACATAGTGATCAATTACTAATTAACAATCAAATCCGTGGAACTCTGAAAGTTTCCTATATAGTCCCCGTAAATCAAAATTGAATACAATATTTTACTTCGATACGCACAGGAAATCTGTAAAAAAAAAAAGTATTCCAGGCTCTGATTTTTTCCTGAAGGGTTTGTGCGTCAGTTTCCTTCCAACTTTTTTTTTATCGAACTCAAGGTTACGCCTTCAAGTTGCAATCCGCCACAGTGCCAATTTTAGCGGACTCGGCTTGTCGACAGCCAAATGTCTATGGAGATAGGATCACTACTGGAATGTTTTGCGCTGGCTTTCTTACTGGCGGAATCGATTCTTGCCAAGGTGATTCCGGTGGCCCACTGACGTGCGTCGATGACGGTTCGTTATTTTTATTCATTTTTCCTTTGCACTGCGTTGATTAATTACTATTAAACCACTGTTTTTTCGGTTTCAGGAGTTCATTATCTGTACGGAATCATTAGCTGGGGTCATGGATGCGCCCAACCGAATCGGCCTGGGGTCTACACGAAAGTCACACATTATTTGGGCTGGATATTTGAGCATTTGAACCTATGAAAAACTGAATTTGTGCAAAATTTCTTTGTGTTTTTTTGTGAGCTTTGAATATGTAATTTTTTTAAAGGAACGACAAGGCAAGGAAATATAACATCGAGAAAAAAAAAACTCTCGAAAAATACTGCAATTCTGACCGAAACATCATTTTCCGTATAAGATGAAACAAATCCTTGAATTAAAATAGAAAAAATCTTAGGTTGGACTTATAGCTGTGAGAATCGTGGGTTTACTATTATTTCATTCACGATTATTATTTAATTGTTTAGTCGTCTCGTGCGCGTCAAATCACATCATTCAATCTTGAAATCCGGTGAAATTGTCTTTATTTGTAGTTTATTGGGTTAGGATTTAAAAAGAAAAGAACTCTACGAAACCTTTTTTTTCGTGTTGCTCTTCTTCGCGGATAAAAAAAATTCTTATACGATTTCGAGCGGACTTTTTAAGCAAACGTCCATGATTTTCTTTAGGGCAGAAGCTTTCATTTTCTGCGTTAATCTGTCACGTAACTCATGGATTGACAATAATATTTTAATGATTGACGCATAAAAATTTTAGGATTATGTACTGGTACAGATTTTTGGATTCGAACGAAATTTTCGTTGAATTGATTGCCTCCAGAAGCGTGTTTGCAAAAAGATTGCTGAGGTAATTTACTTTCTACATAGATAATCCTTGTGTACTTGGAACAATATTTTTCCTTGGGCTCTGTCAGTCTTTTCTCATGCAATTGCATTTCAAAATTTACTATTTACAATTATAATTTCAAAACTCCGGGGCCTTTTGCGTGGATAGCGTGGAGTTTCGAAAAGGTAACCCCGAACCAGAACCCGTATAGGTAATGCGGGAACTAAAATAGATCATGTGCCAAGAAGCAAAGGAAAACACGGTATTGTAACGTTGATGGAAGCACACGTTGTTGATGGGGCGGGAACAGGCCGCAATTAATATTTCAATCGTAGGGTGTTTGCGCACAGCACGGCCTGCATTGACACACCAGCCCAGTGTTAATCTGCAGGGGCTTTGCAAAAAAAAAAAATTCCCGCGAGAGGTAAAAAAAAATAAAACGAAGGCGGTTTCCCCCTTCTTTCTAACGCTGTCATCAGAATCATTACAATTGCGGTTCGCGTGTTTTCTAAGTCGTCGTTACCGCGGGCAACCGACGGTGTATTTTGCGCTAAGTCGGCGATGGGTTCTTTATTGCTAGACACGCAGTTTGACCTGGGTTTTGTCACGCATCTTCGAATGACTCTACGGTTTTTGGCTCAAGGCGGAAAAAAAAAAGTTTAATAATGGTAGCCCTGATGGGAACATTTCGGGATTATTCTGACATTAAACCGCAGTTATCACCACTATATATGCAACATCACTGCGTCACTGCTGAAGTTTCAACCGTGATTTACGGTTTTGAGGGATTATTTTCTGAAATTGGTGTAACCAACGACGGAATATTCATCCTATATTTCAGTGGTGGGCGGAATGAAAAACCCTTCACATATAATAATTCATAATTTATCACATTTGAGTTGCATTGCGAACAATTTTTTCTTCGGAAAGTGAACCTTGCTTTAGATATAGAGGCCAGCATTATTTAAAGCACTGTAATCACACCAAAAATCGGAATTACCATGATAAATCTGACAATATAGATCATTTTTAATGCGGATGAGAATCTTTTGTTATTCTGGTGCGTAGTCTTTCTCGTTCATTAATGAAATTCTTTCGTTGAAAAAATCCTTCGCGAATTCAAGGAACAATTGAAATATTACCAGTGGCCTTGGGACAGTTTTTAAAAGTTCCGTTATTGTCCTATTCAAACGGCGTCTCGCTTCATAACTTTTTCTAATCAACGTCAAGAGCTTTCTCCAGAATCCAATTATATACTGCATATGCTTGTAAAATGACTCGAACAATTGGATCAGGAAGCAAGACGGGAGATTTTTTCGTTGAATGAAGACGTTATCGGAGAGTTAAGATTTTACTGGAATTAAATACCTGTCCCCATGACAACACCCGTGCCACTCTGAGGCGTCACTTTTCGTGACATAATGATCGACAAGACTAGGAGATAGGCAGAATAGATGTGTGAGCTCTATGAATACGTTCGATCAACACTCCACGAAAACTTTACTGCTGCGGATCGTTTAAAATAGACAGAGATGAAAAGTCCGAGAAAAAATTCGTTTGTAAGCTGAGTTGCCGCAAAACACTATCGCAGGTTTCTCAAAAAAAAACTTTTTTTTAATTCAGGAAATATGTTCATCAATTCACAGCAGCAACAATAAATTCTTCCAGCCATTTTACTATACCGGGTTTTCAGAGGATTATTTCGAGGTTCTTTTCGAGGTTTTTGGTCATTGGCGAATTCTACACAGGGTCTAGTTAGTGAGGCTAATTTTTTTAATTTTGACGTGGGCTAAAGATGATCTGATGAGCATAGGACACTAGGATTCGTGTGAAAAGCCAAACGGTTTATTTTTATTTAAAGTACTTGCTTTTTGTGTGTCAGGTTTTGTGTCGTTGATCGCGAAAACTGCAGTAAGTGACAACCTTTCCTTTGGCTGAAGCATTCATTTCTTCCAGCAGTTCTTTGTTTAAAAATTGCAGTAATATGAATCGATGATGAAAGTGAATTCAAACTTTGTTCTAGGTTTTAATTTCTACGAAAAGTTTCTTTTACACGCTTCTAGAATCAGACTTGAATAATTTTTACACAAGTTCCAAGTTCAGGAACTTTTGGCCGCATTTTAATTATTTTGACTTTGCCAATCCCAAAATTGCACTTGATTCAACGAACACTCATTCGCGTATTTACTGGAGCTCCTATCAACATGTATTTTTTCACACAAAATTGCAGCCCGGTTTGATGCTAAATAAAAATTATTGGCTACTTAGTGCGTGAAAATGCTAATTTTGTGGGTATATAGAAGAGTTTAAAGTTTTGGATCAATTCACTCCATATGTATCTTATCAGCGGATGAGTTTAAACCATGATCAGAGTATAAAAATATGCTGCGAAGAAACTACTTGTTCGGAGCGAAATTTGAATATAGCATGTGGCAACTTCGAATAGGCTGACGATTCTATTCGTAATATTTTTATCAGTTTCAATCTGATTGAAATACCGTATAAATAATTACCCAGTTTAATTTCTGTCTTATTTTTCGCACGGCAGTGGGTTTGAGGAGATGCTTATTGTCATTCAAAAAATTCCCGAACATGGACATCAATATGAAATGTCGCTTCAGTAACATCGGTAATCAACCCAGCACTCCGACCATATGCTTCAACTTTCATGGGCTGAAAAATGAAAGTGTCTTGAGGATTAAAGAAATTTCTTATTTGCATGAACATGATTATTTGCATTACCATGTGTTGAGAAGATAAAACAGCCGCTTCACCCCCAAGTTTGTTGCTGACACTTCGGAATTCTATTTCCACTTCGGTGAGCGGGTGTGTTCGATGTGTTGATGGAAAAATCCACTGTATGAATATTACAATGTCACTAAAAAAAACAGCAAAGTGGAGTAGAAGGCCAGTTATATGGGTCTCCAAATCTGACAGCAGATGCAGAGTGGGACCACATCTGCACGATATTGACACAGTTGACGACGAGACGACGACAAAGTGTCGAGATATGTGGAGACCGACGGGCGTCGACACCTTCGTCGGCAAAATTTATATCACTGGGTATCGCGCGCGGGTTGCGCTCAGTTGCTGAGCGACTGCGGCTCCGCAAACCCGACCCTTAACAACATTTCGACCCGCTTCAACATCAATGTTGCTAATTTACCGTTGTGTGTGCGTGTGTGTGTGTGTGTATGTGTGTGTGTACGTATTTGCGTCTGTGTGTGGGGACGAATTTTATTCTCAATTTTTTTATGTTCACATTTTGCACTGTGTTTCTGTTCTCCTGTTTCCCTGGAAACGTGAAATTTTTTCGTTTTCCGCCGAGGAGAGAACAGACAATAATGAATGACGAGGAACCATCAGATTCTTGTCACGTCATGCTTCTGGAATCACGTTCAATATTTCCTTGCAGTAGGATGAAATATTTACGGTAATCTACGACGGTTACGGGATTCAGCGATGTAATCCGGTTTAGTATCTGTATACTGTTTTTTTTTTGCAACATGAACACTTCTACACTGGTTCTGTCATAGGTATGGGCTTCAATCGTTGAATTATTCTTTTGGCAGGCAAACTTAATTGACGACCGGAATTAAAAGTGTATGGGTTTGATGACTAAGGCATGATGGCGTCTTATTGGCAGCTTGTGAGGAAGAGTCAGGGAGGTAGGTTTACACCTCGAAGAACCACTTGAAAAATCATAATAATTACGAAAAAGAATAAAGTATGAAAAAAGTGGAATTCCTCCGCAACAAGTTGGTGAAACTTTCAGAGTTGTACAGCCACAGTTACCTTTGCCAGAGGGCTTAAATCCAAAATAAATGCAAGCAAGCTGGATTTGTTGAAGGGGCATCAAATGTGGGTCTTTTGCCTTGTCTAAAATCTTTTTTCAATAAGAATCTATTTTAATGTTATTATTTCTACTACGAGACATTATAGTAAACAAGGATTCTTTTTGGGTTACGGGTTATAGACGCTACTTAGGATTTTCAAAATTTGCAAAGATGGGACAAACCAACCCGCAGTTAGTTCCTCAAATATGGATGCCCTGGAGGAATTGAGTGGTGTCGGGATAAAAGGAAAACAAAACGTGGATTAGATGGTCAGTGGTCTTTCTCAAATTCCGACCGGATGCAGTGGGGACCTGTAGTCTGCACCATATTGATCCAGTTGACAAGGATGTGTGACGTGTCTATAGTGCCGGTATATATGGATGGAGAGAGCAACGAGTGTCGACCTGTCGACACACACCTTTGTACAGGGGGAGAATTTATAGCACTGGGTACCGCGGGGATTTGCGCTCAGTTGCAGAGAGGCAGGGGCTCTTCTTTCTGTTTTGCAGAAATCAGAAGTAATTTAACTCCGTCATTCTTTCGGTGTTGGCAAATGTCTTTCCTGGACGTGGTCTTCAGTGTTCGCCATACTTCACAGGTTTTTTTCACTGCTGAAGAAAATGCATTTTTCATGTTGTTCTTCTTCTGTTGCACATGCTGGTGAAAC